CCTTTCAGCACATTGTTAGATAAGCAGCGACGAGAAGTGACGACTCAGGCGACAACTCGCTGTGACACCAACACCTGTCGGTCAAGAGGAACTCACACCTGCACAATACGTCTTTATGCAGCACTAACTAACACCTGTATTCTTGATTTCGTTCGTTCCTACAGTCACTATTTACACAAGACGGACGCTCTCCTTTTCTCCTTTTTGCTCTCGAGTCCAGTAATCTTAAAAATCACATTGACCTCAGAGCAGACCATGCGTTTTATCTGCGCTCTCCCTCGATATATACATCGGTAATGAGGATTGTCAATTCGTGTTTGACAATCCCTCTCGATGGGTCGCGGGTGCCAGATGCAGGACAATCGACATTTGGGCTTTGAAGGATGATCCATCAAGCCACGTAAGATAGCGTATTTTAAAATTCACATGTCAATTCCGGATAATCCAGTCGCGGTACCAATATTCATTCAGAAACCTTGTCTTAAAAAGTGAGCAACCGACCATACCCCCTACGATGTTATCAGCCAATCATGTGATAGGAGGCGGGGTCACATGACAGCTAACCCCGCCTTGATTGGTCGTATCGCAGCCTGGACAATTTTCTCTAAAAATGTCGTAGCCATGTGGTTTAGCGGATTTACCTAGTGGGTGTATTTTCGATACCGTGGAAATAATATAGACTATGACAACTTAATGGCCGAATTAGGAGGTTTTCCATTCCCCCCCCAAAAAAACCCTCCCCGCCTCTCCTTAGGTACACAAGCCAGGTGTGGGCCTCTCCCTGCATCTGTCTCCCCCAACACCTGCGTGCGTTTTATGTGAGCCATTTCTTCCCCGAAAAAAAACACAGATCCCACGCATAGAAAACGTCCAACCATACAGGCCAAATTATCCTAATAAATCTTTCTTTTTTTTCCGCAGGTTGTTCAGCATGAGACGATGCGCAAGATGTTCCCAGGTCATCAGTAGTTCCGAACTGGTGATGAGGGCGAGAGAGTTTGTCTATCACGTGCAGTGCTTCACGTGCGCCCACTGCAGCGTCCAGCTTACCAAGGGAGACCACTTTGGCATGAACGGCCCCCTCATTTACTGCCGTGATCATTACCAGGTGAGTGACTAATCAATTGCACGTGTAAATGGTTAATTGCACGTTTAATACTGTTTAAATGCATATCCAAGGAACTAAATTTGACTAACAGTATGTCTGCCTATTTACCAATGCAAGAGAGAGAGAGAGAGAGAGAGAGAGAGAGAGAGAGAGAGAGAGAGAGAGAGAGAGAGAGAGAGAGAGAGAGAGAGAGAGAGAGAGAGAGAGAGACTGAAAGAGAGAGAGACTGAAAGAGACTGAGAGAGAGAGAGAGAGAGAGAGAAAGAGAAAGAGACTGAAAGAGAAAGAGAGACTGAAAGAGAAAGAGAGAAAGAGAGGCTGAAAGAGAGAGAGAATGAAAGAAAAAGACTGAGAAAGATCGCCACTGATTAGGTAACGAAAGTGAGAGACAGAAGAGAAAGAGAGAACGAGCAACATGCCTGGAAGAGCGGACATATGTCATGGAATTAATGCGATAAGATTAAAATGTATGTAGATGAGCTCGCGTTAAGATTCTTAATCTTATTAACCGTATGTACTCATGTGTAGTGTTTATCATATCTTAATGATGGGAAAGACGATTCTCGTTATATGTGTATGTATATGAGACACTATTTCCGCGTTCCCAGGTTTGGAATGGAATAGAGTTCGTTAGATTAAATAGAGGAATTGATTTGTAAAATTAAATGACTGACAGTTACAAACAGATATACTCATGCATTCACGCATACCCCCCCCTCTCTCTGTGTGTCTTTCTTTCTTTCTTTCTCTCTCTCTCTCTCTCTCTCTCTCTCTCTCTCTCTCTCTCTCTCTCTCTCTCGCTCTCTCTCTCTCTCTCTCTCTCTCTCTCTCTCTTTCTCTCCTTCTCTCTCTCTCTCTCTCTCTCTCTCTCCTTCCCCCCCCCCCCCCTCTCTCTCTCTCTCTCTCTCTCTCTCTCTCTCTCTCTCTCTCTCTCTCTCTCTCTCTCTCTCTCTCTCTCTCTCTCTCTCTCTCTCTCTTTCTTTCTCTCTCTGTCTCTTTCTCTCTCTCTCTCTCACACACAAAGACACACATACCCACACATAAGAATACTTATGTATATATATATGTATATATATCGTAACGATAATGCATGTTTCCCTCACAGTCCTTTCCCTCAAAGGCCATTCTCCTCCTTGCAGATGTCCACCTCTCTGGAGGGCGGCTACATCACGCCCATGGGGATGCCTCCGGGGGCTCTGCCGGGCGGCCCTCTCCCCCACGGCCCCCACGGCCCCCACGGTGTGCACCCCCACCTCCCCCCTGAGGTGATGCAGGGGTTCCCGCCCCCCGACCACGGCGGCAAGATCCCCTTCTTCAACGGCGTGGGCGCGCACCACAAGGGCAGGCCCAGAAAGCGGAAGCCCAAGGACGAGCCTATGGACACCAACATGAGTGAGTGCGCCTCGGGTTCTCGCCCGGCCGGCCCCGCGGGTCCCTCGGCTCGGCTGGCCGGGCGTCGCTGCTCTTGCTTCTGCTCACTAACTCTTGCTTTTTAGCTTCTGTTGCTAGTATTGCGGTTATGGGTGTTATTGTTGTTGTTGTTATTATCTTTGTTATTGTGATTTTTGTTTTTATTATTGTTCGTTTTCTTATTCTTATTCTTATTATTGTTATTATTCTTTCATCTTTTTAGTTTTCTTCTTCTTCTTCTTGTTAATATTATTATAATTATCATTATCATTATAGTTGTTATTACTAATTTACTATTACTATCACTCCCGTTATTTTACGTATGACCACCATCACGAGTGTGATTCATAAGACCATTACCACATTTATCTCTATCTCGCCGTAACGATGACGTAATGATGACGTCTATGGAGATTAATGAAGGCTTTAGTCCTGATGATTTTTTTAAATATCTCGCGCTGGCATTTCGACTTTATCACGTACTCTACCATTTCCATAATAATGTTGCTAAGAGCCAATCGTGTTATTAGGGCTGTCGGGCCTCGTCACGTAGATGCTAAGTGACTCATTTACCGTCTCTCCCTTATGCTGGCTATCTTTGCCTTCCTCCTTCCCTCTTTCCATTCCTTTCTCCCTCTCTCCCTCCCTACTTCTCTCTTTCCCTCCCTTGTCTCCCTCCCTCTCTGCTCTCATTCCCTCCCTCCCTCCCTCCCTCCTTCTCTCCCTCCCTCCTTCCTTCCCTCCCTCCCTTGTCTCCCTCCCTCTCTGCCCTCCCTTCCTCCCTCCCTCTCTGCTCTCCCTCCCTCCCTCCCTCCCTCTCTGCTCTCGCTCCCTCCCTCCCTCCTTCCGTCCCTCCTTTGTCTCCCTCCCTCTCTGCCCTCCTTCCTTCCTTTCCCCCCTCCCTGCCTTCTCTCCCTCCTTCTCTTCCTCCCTCCCTCCCTCCCTCTCTACTCTCTTTCCCTCCCTCCCTCTCTGCTCTCTCCCTCCCTCCCTCCCTCCGTCCATCTCTCCCTCCAGCCGACCTGACCGCCCTCCCTCCTTCGGCATCACACCTGTCCCATCACTTTATCTCTCGTCTCACTCCTATCCCTCTTTACATCTGTCCTCGCTCTGCGTTCTATCCCTTCCCATCTGCCCGTATCTCGGTCCGAGGATCATGGCGCTAACTCAAGACTTCTTTGTGTGTGTGTGTGTATATACATATATATATACATACATACATATATATATATATATGGATGCATGTATATATATGTGTGTGTGTATGTGTGTGTGTGTGTGTGTGTGTGTGTGTGTGTGTGTGTGTGTGTGTGTGTGTGTATGCATATAAATGCACGCATGTGTGTGTTTATTATGCTTTTTCATTTTCTTGTCTTGCTGTCACTCTTTTCAGATTTACGGTACGTTGAGTTTTATTTTTTCTGTAAATATTTCCCTCTCAATTCCTTGGCTTCTTTCTCTCTTTACCCCAAACAAGCTAACGAACCATTCGCGTCACCCACACTGGCCTAAGCTACTTTACAACCAGCTGAGGACTTTGGCAGCCTCTCTCTCTCTCTCTCTCTCTCTCTCTCTCTCTCTCTCTCTCTCTCTCTCTCTCTCTCTCTCTCTCTCTCTCTCTCTCTCTCTCTCTCTCTTTCTCTCTCTTTCTCTCTCTCTTCTCCTTTAAGGTATCATCCCTTTCACCCCTCTCGCTCACCTCCTCCCTATCACACGCCCGTCCCCCACCCCCCTCCTCCCCCTCCCCATCCCCCTTCCAACCCCCGAACCTCACCAGCCCCCACCCCCCCATCGCCAGCCCTGCCCCTCCCCCTCAGCCCTTACTGGCCGTTAATTACTCCATGGCGGGCCTTGAGTCTGGGTGTAGCTCGAGGAGGCAGCCGCTGTAAATATCCTGCAGACGTTTACGGACTTTTAAGCGGCAGGGCGGGGAGGCTGGCGGAGTTCTTGCTTGGCGCCGTTCGTGTGGCGTTCCCCTCGCTCCCGTTCTCTCGTTCTCTTTTCTTCGTTCTCTTTCGGTGTTTCGTTCTTGTTCTCGTTCGTTCTCTCTTGGTTACCCGGTCTCGTGTTGTCTTATCGTGTCGGTCTCTCTCTCTCTCTCTCTCTCTCTCTCTCTCTCTCTCTCTCTCTCTCTCTCTCTCTCTCTCTCTCTCTCTCTCTCTCTCTCTCTCTCTGTCTCTGTCTCGTTCACCTTCCTTGTCTTCTTCCTTCTTCCTTCGCTTCATGGCATTTCCCGATTCTTGATATTCTTTGGTTTATCTCCTTCTCTCGTCGTTTGTCTTCCGACGGCCAGTCTGTCCTGCATGGCCGTCGCCCGCCAGGAGCGTCTTCCTCTTTCACTTCGTTAGCGAATATTGGTGAACAATCGCCGTGTGAGCGCAGAGGGAAATAAAGGGCGAGAGAAGGGGAAAGGAAGTCACAAATGAGGGCAAGGGGAAAGGAGAGGAAGGGAAAGGGAGGGCGATGGAGTGGGCAAAGGTGTGACCAGGGGGAGGCCCTTGGAGAACATGTTTTTAATCGTCGGCAGCAAGGCTTTAGTCGCCTCTGCTGAGACATCGCGATCATCGGTGAGCCGGCCCCCCCTCCCCCGTCCCACGCCGTCAGCCCGTCCCGCGCAGCGCGTCTCGAACGCTGCCTCCGCGCCCGTAAGTCATTGCTGGAGATATCACACGCTGCATAAATTACCATACGCTTATCGGCCACTCCCGAAGGATCCTGAGCGTCGGCCGAGGTGGCGGAGGTCAAGCGTATCCGGGCGGCACTCCGCCGGAGAGCATGACTGGCGGGCGTCGGCGGCGCGGCCGGCGAGGGTGCCGTCCCTCGTGACCTTCGGCGGTGATGGACGCTCGGGAGTCGCTCCCATGAATAGGGCCGGACGCGCGAACGCACACAAACATGCACAAAATTATGCACACGTGTTTATCGGGTCATCTGCATACACACACAAAGGAATACATATGTATATATGCATATATAATACGCGTGAGTGTGTTTATTGATATATCATCCATATATATACATATATATATATATATATATATATATATATATATATATATATATATATATATATATATATATATATATATATATATATATATATATATATATATATATATATATATATATATATATATATATGTATATATATACTGGTTTATATATATATATATATATATATATATATATATATATATATATATATATATACACACACACACACACATTTATGTGCACACACACACACACACACAGAAAAAAAGAAAGAAAAAATATTTAAATATACATATATATATATGTGTGTGTGTGTGTGTGTGTGTGTGTGTGTGTGTGTGTGTGTGTGTGTGTGTGTGTGTGTATACATAGGCATACACACACACACACACACTCCCATATATATGTATATATATATATATATATATATATATATATATATATATATATATATATATATATATATATATATATATATATATGCATGTATGTATGTATGTCCTCACACAAAAACACGCACACATATATATATATACTCTATACATCTTTGTGTATGTATGTATGTGGTATGTCTCTGCGTCCGAATGCGTGGCGGTGTATATTAAGTACCTTCACACCCACTCAGATGTAGACCACCGTGTGCACTTGCAGCTGCTTATATAATTAATCAACAGAACGATTCCCCTTCGATTTATAATCGCGGGAGATATTTTAGCGAGTCTTATCGACTGGAAATCAGCCTGACTGTTACCCGACTACTGGGTCGTTTATCTTCGCTTCCTTCTTGCTTTCTTTGTTTCTCCTTTACGCTGCTTGTGCTTTGGTTTTGCCTTTGATTTCCCTTCTACGTGAGGGTGTTCATAACTAGCAATTTTATCTACACAGTTTAAAATTTGCCTCTATGAATATATGAATGAATAACATGGACACTTTCGTATGTGTGCTCGTGTGTGTACGTATGCAGAAGCGAAATATTTGAGCTGGATGCAATGCAAATGTCCTTTGATGCATGTGTATTCTTCTGAATGATTTGCATATTCTTTCCCTCTTTCCCGACGTCCGCGCCTGCCCTCGTCTCTCTCTCGTTCGCCCTCATCTTCTCCTTCTCCCATTTTCTTTCTGTCCCTCTTTTCTCCTCGGCCCTGCCTCTCGACCTATCCTTATTCGCTTCCCCTTCTCCACCTCTTTATTCTGTCCCCTCTTCCCTCCGCCCCCCCCCCCTCCATCCAGAGACCTTCCTCTTCTTTCCGTTTCTTTTATCCACACTCCCCTGCGCCCTCCCCCCTCGACGCCCCCCCCTCCCTCCTCCATCCCCCAAAGGGTGCCCGCCCACCCGTCCTTAACAACCCTCTAACAAGACCCGATGGACGCGCGAAGTGTATAATTTGAGCAACATATGCCGGTTTTCCAGCCGCGCACAATGACAACAACACCGCCATCCCTCGCTTATTGATTGTTATTGTTGTGTTCCCTGCAAACAAAACCTCCGGCCGCCGAGGACCCCGCCGGCGCGCCGCTGCGAGGGCCTCTGTAGGGGCATTCAGCCTTGCCTGGCAGGGGGAAAGGGAGGCTGTTGCCGGATGTCTTCTTCTTATTTCTTAATTTCCTGATTCCTCTTCACTCGTTATCAAGTAGTTTTTTATGAGAGGCGTGAATTGTCAACCGTCGTTAAAGTCTTGCATCTCGCCGGAAAGTTTACCCGAGAAGTACAGTAAGAAAAATAGACCTAAAATTCCCGACATGGCAAGGAGCAGGACAGTGGACGACCTAACCTCTCCACTCCAGATCCATTATTATCAACATTTACCCTTCAATTGTGGCCTTCTTGTTATCACTGTTTTGGCAAGGCATCTCCTGCCGGACTGCTCTGTTTTGTATCGATTTCGGAAGTTAGCGTGCATTATTAATGTAGTTTGGGCATTGTTTCGGCGCGAGCTTCCGTGGAGAGATGGGCCAGCTGATAGTGGCAGACGCGGTAAAGTCTCCAG